CCTCGGCCCTCTGTCTGTCCCACCCCCCAACGGTCGGCCTCGGCCCTCTGTCCCACCCCCCAACAGTCGGCCTCGGCCCTCTCTGTCCCACCATCCCTGCTTTTCCTCGGAGGTCTCATTCACTCCACTTGATTCCCAGATTCAGCAGCGGCCGTAATGTCCCTCCTGAGCTCCGGTGGTGCGTCTCCTTTGACCTCTCAGACATTTCCACCTGGACGTCCTGCAGACTCTCTGTGGCTGGGACTGAATTCACATCTGCTGCATCCGGCTCGCTCTTCCGACCTGCCTTTTTCCGTTCATTGGACTTCCAGTTGCCCACGCTCGAACCTCTGGTGTCATCTCTGCTTCCTGGAGCTCCCCGGGTCCCCAGTCCAATCGGGCAGCACACCTCATCCATTCTTTCTTAACAGTGTCTCTTGCAGCTGTCCCCCTTCCGTGTCTGCTGCCACTGTGCTCATTTACACCCTTGTCAACTCACACAGGACAACTACAACAGCCTGATTAATCTCACAGCTTCCTAATTGTTGCTGTGCTTCCAGACTTTCCAGTTCGTCCCGCACATTCTCTTCAAATTCACCTTCCTAAAACACCTGTTTGATCATTTCAGTCCCCTGATCGATTCCTTCGCCTGACATGTGAAGCCCTCCACAGTCTGGCCCCAGGCTGGCCTTACCCGCGCAGACCCTTGGCACCAGCCGGAGCGACTGCTCCTGCCGGGCTCTCCTCCCCTCCGCAGCCTGCCCCTGCCTGGAGACTACACTCTGATTAAACCTGCTGTTTTTTGGAGCTGGTCCTGGCCACTCCAGCTGGCAGTCCTTTCCCCCCCCCGGGTGATTGGATCTGTGCCCCTTCGCTGGCACTCAGCAGCCATGTGAATAGATTCAGAAGTGACTTAGTCTTAACAGTGCGTCCTCGTATCTTCTCTTATCCTCCTAAAGAATGGGGTTTTTTACCAGTCCAAGCTGTCCTGCCGTTCGGGAGGACTTGACGATGGCTACGGCTACCTTCTGGGAAAGGCTTGCATTCTCCTCCTTGAAGGCCACCTTTCGAGCAGCTAAGCGCACTGGCTTTCATCCTGTGCTGAGACCTGAGGAGGAGGAAGCAGCCCCGGGACTGGACCGCAGCAGGGGGACAGCCTGAGGAGGGTGTGAGGGAAATGACATGGCCGATTCCCTGTACCCTGGGGGTGTCTTCCTTCTGAGCTGGGCTGAGGCTGCTTCATTGGGCAGCACATTGTTCCAAACGCCACAGGGTCCACCGTCCCTCGGGCTGGGGCGGCTTCCACCTCAGCTGCCCCGGACTGTGGGCAGCAGCAGAGGTGCGTGAGGATCAGCGGCAGAGGGCTGGGCTCTCTGGCCAGAAAGCTTTGGACAAGGGCCTGTGGAGGCCTTGTCTGCCCCCTTACAATGAGAGGGGTTTGCATAACCAGCCCCTGTGCTTCCGGGGCCCTGGTGACATTGCCACATGTCCCTGGGTACGCCAGTGGTTTTCTGCTCAGTCGAGAGGATTGTTAGGTATTAGTTCGGAGCCACCTCTCTAATTTGATCCCTGGAAGATCATCAGGCATTCCATTTCCACACTGACCCAGCTGTCCTGACCTGGGGAACAGGGTGTGGGTTCTCAGTCAGGGTCGGGAAGAAGAATCCAGTACAGCAGGCCTGGTATGGAGAGCAGGCTGGTGTGCACCCGGGAACCTGTCCACCGCGGGATAGTTCACAGCAGAGCCACGTGCAGACAGTCCCAGGCACTGCTGTGGCTGCTGGCATTTCCACTGAAAGCTATAGTTAAATCCTTTCATGCCCCCAAAGCAAGATGAATATTCCAAAAATCAGTCTGGCGGGAGGAGCCACTAACTTGAATGGGCTGAGGCTTGGGAGGACAGCTCTGTCCCTGAGTGGGACAGGGCAATTCCTTTTCCATGGATTCTGATTCAGAGATCATGGAGAAGCTAAATTGAGAATAATGGATGACAGTGGTTGGGGTAAGGTAAAAAAAAAAAACGGC